AGCGGTGCGGCGCTGGCGGGAGTAAGGAAGTCTGAGCTGGGAGGGCCAGGAAGGCCCTGTGGGCGACGGGTTGGCCCCTCGGTTCCAGACAGGAGAGATCACATGGTGGCCCTGGTGGCCCGGTGGGCTGGGGCACTGCTCCCCAGGCCTCCAAAGAACCCACCGCGCTGACTTCAGACGGGACACCACGGTGGGGGAGAGCAGGACCCCGGGGCGGGTGTGACATCTCACTCAGCGTCGCTCCTGGGAGGCTGACAGCAACTCAGACTTTTTGAGTCGGGGTCTCACTCTGTCGCCCAGTCTGGAGTGCAGCGGCACAAGCACAGCTTACCGCAGCCTTGACCTCTTGGGCTCAGGCCATCCTTCGGCCTCAGCCTCCTGAGTAGCTGGGGCTACAGGCATGTACTACCAAAGCAGGCTAATTAGATTGTAGAGATGAGGTCTGGCTATGTTGCCCAGGCTGGTCTCAGAACTCCTGGGCTCAAGCAACGCTCTCGCTTCTACCTCCCAAAGTGCGGGATCACCTGCCTGAGCCCTTCTGATGTGTTTAAATGAGCAACACGTGTTGACTTCACAGTGGTTCCCGTGCGGCACTCACTGAGCTGCTGCTGGACGGTGACACAGTCAGGCCACAACCCACCCTTCCACTGTCCGACCCTCCTGAAAACTTCACCTGTCAAGGCAAAGGCAGTTCTGGGCACGTCTCCAAGGAAGCCCCTCGGACCGACAGCTCCTCTCTCCGCAAATCCAGCTGGTAAAACGTGAGCGAGATGCTGATGGTGGAAGAGACCAGGATTGGTCCTGGCCTTGCCGTGAGCACGTGGGACACAGGTCATTTGTCGAGTGGCTGTCCTTCGTCCTCAAAGTCCCTCCCTGGGCTGCCCGATGGGCGGCGGGGCGAGGACCTGTGCGGAACCCCCGGAGGACTTCACGTGCGCACACACATCACTCTGGCTCTGCTGGCCATTTTCCCCAGCTCCACCTGAGGGCGTGGCTGAGGCCGGCCGGGCTGTGGTCAGCGCTCTCAGCTCCCTGCTCGGCGGGGCTCAGCCCCGGGCTCTGCACCAAGCGGTCACTCCCTGCAGCAGAATCCCAGGGGGGAAGGGGTGGGCGTGAGCACCGGACACCCGCAGGCTCCTGGAGAGCTCGGCCTGGCCCAGGTGACCTGCCTCCACGGGCTCCCCTGGCAGCGCGTCTCTGCGGGTGGCACGGTCTTCACGGGGGCCAGGCACACAGCTGAGAAGGGCTGTTGCTAGCGCCCCAACGTGCCTTCCCGCCGTTCCGCGGAGCCTCGGAAGCCTGTGTCACCCGACAAGCTCCGCTCCCAGCCGGTCGTCCAGGAGTCAGACCCGGAGCTGGGCCTTCAGGTTGGCCCACTCATGGCTGCAGCCCGGAATGGCCGGTGGGGGGGGCCGGGAAGCGTCCGGTGCGGAGAGCCACCACCCGCCGCCGCCGGCTTCGCCTCAGCACGCTGGGCTCCGCAAGGGAAAGCTTCCCTGTGGGAGTTGGCAGGCAGCTGAGCAGGGGCTAGACAACTCTGACGTCGCGAAGAGCCTCGAGGGGCAGCCGAGCAGCAACAGCCAGCCTGTGCTGAGCACCGCCCATGCGACAGCTCCCCCAGTCCTCACAAACCCTGAGCCAGACACTGCCGCGACTGCTCCTGACACACGAAGAGGAAGGCCCAGCCACACTTGCCCAGGATCAAATGGCCGGTGCGGGCATCCGAGGTCGGAGGTCAGACCCGGGCACGAGGTCCCGGCCCTTCTCTCGTGAGAGTCCGTGCTGCCTATGCTCTTGTGAACAGTGACAGTGTGACCCCTGCTTCGGCCTGGCTGCCACCTCCCTGTCCCCCAGCCTCTGTCGGGGAATGCCGCTCACAGCCTGTCAGAGGCAGGGCAAGGCGCGGCACAGTTCTGCAGCTCCAGGTCTCTGGCCACAACACCTTGCCCGCCCACGGGTGCATGAGAAGCTTCTGGGAGGGGGTGACAGCCTGTCTCTGCACAGGCACACCCAGGCTGTGCCTGCCCGGCAGGCAGGAGGCCCAGCCCTGCCTGTGTCACGAGGCCCCGCCTCTCGTCCCGGGCTCCGGCATGGGGAGCTGTACCACGGGTAGCCTGCTCTAGTTCTCTCTGCCCAAGAACAGAGTGTTTCAACCTGGCCACCAGCAAGCAGGAGCCACGAGAGCTCTGTGCTTTTCCACGGCACCCTCGGGAGTGCCTAGCAGGGAGCAGTCCTCAGTTAACTGCCAGGACGAATGGATGGCCGCATGAACGTGGCAAGTGAGGCCAGAACGAGACTGACTCCCCGACTCAAAGTGTGCAAGTCCGCAGCCGAACACACACAAGCGAACTGTGTATGACGGTGGCTCTGTGTGTTCCAGGAACAGGAGCCAGGCTAAAAAAGTGGACAACCTGAAGCTAGAGGAGAAAGGAGGCCCTCAGGTGAAAAACCAGGGCACGGGCAGGGGAGGAAATGGACTCCAGACACCTGGCCACCCCCACTCCCAAGCACACAGCCCAAACACAGGTTCAAACTGAGAGAAGCAGCTTTAATAACACACACATACATTCATAGGACGTTAAACAGGATGCAGTATAGAGCCTTAAACAAGTGAAGCGAAGAAAGAGAAAAGGCAGCCTACATCCGTGGAGGAGCTGGCACGCTGGGTACCTGGCCGGCACGGCTGCCTGGGGCGCAAAAGCACAGACCTCGGCTGGAGGGAGAAGCAACCAGTGGCCCCGGGCGCCCCCTCCGGCCTCCTGGAGACACACCAGGGCAGTCATCCCCAATCTTTGAGCCAAGTCACTTACTCCGGGCAACCTCCTCCCACCCTTGTTTTTAACTGGAAAGCGACTCTTGCCTTGAAGACTCCAAATGCTGTCACCTGCAGCCCCCCGGGATGCTATCTGTTCTAAGGGCACTGCGCACGCCCCAGCTGAGCCCGGGCGCACCCCACACTTGCCCTCCCATCGGGGGCCTTTGTGACGCCAAGAGCCAGCTTCACTTGCTGGCCGCCCAGGGCGGACAGAGGCACTTAAATAACAGAACAGAGAGAGGTGCCTTTTCGGGGAACAGGAAAAGCTGTTTAGACGGGGCAACGGTCACACAAAAAGCCTCCACACCGACGAGTGCCTTAAGCTTCAGCCGGTGAGAAGGGCCTAAGTGGGACACACCCCCCGGCAATTAGACCAGGTAACTTGGCACGGCGATACCGCCAATGACCACCCAGCGCAAGCTCCATCCGCCAGGTCCCACAGCGCCTGATGCCGCATGGTAGATGCCTCCTCCCCTCTCCGCCCCCTTCACTGGGCGACAGGGAGGCAAAGCCCGGGGACTTGGGAGGAAGGAAAGGCTTGACTTGGGAGAAAACCCCGGGCTGCTTGTGCTGAGAGTGACAGAACTCTCATGAGAACCCAGATGTGAATACTGACTGGACTGTGCCCCAGAGACTGAGGACCCACCAGAGTCACCAGCGGGGCCTGCACTGACGTCAGGTCTTCACTTTTGAGGGACAGATGAACTATTTTTCTCAAATAGAGAAAGACAATTAAAAACAGATTTTTCTTGCTGGAGCTTAAAAAAAAAAGTACCAAAGGCGTTTTAAATTTGATGGGCGGTTACCTGTTGAAACTGCAATACAAAAGGGTCACTTAAAAAAAAAAACCTGAACAACCCACTTGTCCCCCATCAATGTACACGATTAGAAAATATTTACACACAGTAATTACAAGCAATATAAGCAGTATTTTATACTTTGAGATTTTGTACACTTTACACAATGCAAAATGAGAAAAATATGAACACTTATAAAATTACACACAAAGAATATATCTACAAAGTAGTAAATTACAGAGTGAAAGCCCCATTGTTGGGCAGATAGATGCCAGAGTGTCAAGCTTCTGTCAGACACAACTCTTCGTATCTATCTCTTTAACCCTAAGTGGCATTTTGAACAACACCCTTGAGAGGTAGTATCAGAGAACATTCTCACCAGTAAACTCAACACAGAATAACACTTTTGTGGATCTGACTCCTGGAGCCTTGGTCGGCCTAGGTGCTTAGAAACTGGGTTCACCTCATCTTCCCAACGGAACCTCTCACTGCCCAACGCTTGGCATGAGCTCAGAGTTACGGATGCGATGTTAAATAATAAATTTAAGATAATTTTTTTTTTACTCCTAAGCCTCAATCTAGAGGTAGAAAGTTATTTTTGAAAAATTCATTTCCTCCCCTCTCAAACCACAAGCATCAAGCCCAGGGTCCCCTGCCCTCTGAGAGCTCCCTCCCCCAGGGGGACACCAGCATGCTCAGGACAGGTCGCCATACCAGTACTGAAAGAACAACACGACACGTGACATTCTCTTGCAGAAAACAAACCCTCCTGAAAGGAACACTCAGGCGGCACAAGAACTTTTCCGTTGGCTAGTAAGAGCTGGTCACTAAGCAAGGCTTTGGTGGGCCCCTGGGCTAACGCCAGCATGGGCACTTCGCTGGGCCTTCCACCATTTGAACCAAAGGATGGCTTTCCAGTGTTTAAGAATCCACAGCAGCTGTGGTTTTCAAGTGCAACAACTTCAAGATACAAACACAGACACACGCACACACACAGACACAGTGTCCCAAAGAATAAACACCATTCACGTCTCTGCCCAAGTTATATACTCATGGACACAGGTTTTGGGAAACTTGTTCTAGTCTTAGGCTTTCACAATACAGACTTCCGTAATATGGTTACCAAGAGCCAGAATTCTAAGAGTTAGCCACGATTCCAAGATGTCACCAGTATTTAAAATACATGCGCCGGAAAGAAACCCAAAGTCAACAGCATAGAAACAGCCACTACCTAACAGACGAACTGCCTTCCCTTCGGGGCATATGCCAATATACCAACTTCTGCTTCTCAGCTGTTTCTTTAATGTACTTAAAAAACCCAACAGATTTATAATCTTGAATAGGGAAGGAAAATGCAGGGACTGAAATTAATCTCTGTGGGTTATGAGTTACAGAAGAGATTTATGCTTTTTATTACTAAATGCCGTTCTGAACTTTCCCTTTGTGTCCTAAAATAACCAAGAGGGAAAATTAAACCCAACTGCAACTTGGCCTTAGTTTCCAAGTCCAACTCAAGTTGGTCCAAACTCTTTTCTTACATATTTCCTGTGGTTATCCAAGTACCACAAATACTATCTAAAAAAGATAACTGGCTTACAACTTCACAAGAGGAGTAAAGGGGCAGGTTAGACACGTGATTATTAGCTGCTCCTACTCCTCCCTCCTTTAAAGAAGCCACTGTTTTACTAGGTCAGTTGCTGTAACAATCAAGCAGATCACATTTCATTATCTGCTTCAGAAATAGCAATTTCTTCATTACCAGCTTCATCCTAGATATTCAAGTGGCACATCTGCAGCACATTTTCTTAGCATTCCATTGGAGTCTGTAATAATCCTTTCTTCTCCTCCAGGAAAGGCTCTTGCTGAATTTCTCTTGATTCATATTTTTGTTATTACAACTGTTAAGAATCTGGTACCCAAAAGTCATGAAGCTGCCCCTAAAAAAGAAAAGAGGATACAGGAAAATTTAATCAGATTATGAACTAACCCTTATAAAACTACTAATCATCAGACAATGAGCTTTGATAAGGAAAATAATCTAAATCTCTAAATTGTACGTTCCTCCAAAAATTTATAGCACTCAGATTCAAATCTCTTATTTTGTGGTCAATTTTAAAAAGTATAAAGTAAGGGCAGGATGTTTTTCTCACCACCACACACATGGAGGGACATAGTTATGGAGATTAATATACTAAGCTGATTAATATCATTTTGTTATTCAATTATTTTCTGCTTTAATGCCGTTATCAGCAGATGGTTAGCCTAAAAAAAATCCTAAGAAACTAAGACAAAAATAACAGACCACAAGCTTAAGATTTCTCAAAGACTTTTAAGACAGTGTGCCTCCTAGTTAAGGTTAGAGTGTTATTCTGACGTCGGATAGAAGCAGCGGCCAGGCCTTGGCTACTCTAGGTTGAGTCCCTGGGTGAGCAGCCCTGGCTTCAGCCTGAGGACGAAGAGCAAGACAGAAGCCCTCGGTCCACTCCAGACCCACGGTCAGAACCCACACTCAGCTCAGAAGCCACACTCAGCGGGTGCCTCCAACTGGGAGAAGCAGCATTCTAGACAATCCTGCAGTTAGTTTGTTTGAAAACCAGCAGGCGGGCCACCTATTAGAAGGCATTACAACGTCCCTCCTGGCTGGACTCCATCGCATGGTAAAACTTTTATGCTACAAATACCCCCATCAAGACCATGAAAAGACAACAGAATGGGAGAAAACATTTACAAATTACACATCTGATCAAGGATTTGCATCCAGAAAACATGGAGAATTCTTGCAGCTCAATGATAAAAAGATAAATAATCCAATTAAAAAATAAGTACTCTGCCAGCCTCGGTGGCTCAGCCTGTAATCCCGCACCTTTGGGAGGCTGAGGTGAGTGGATTGCCTGAGCCCGCAGGTTCGAGACCTGCCTGGGCAGGCGAGACTTCATCTCTACAATAAAATTAAAAAATGAGCCGGGCGTGGTAGCGCGCGCCTGTAATTCCGGCTATGCGGAAGGATCGCTGGAGCCCAGCAGGTCGAGGCTGTGGTGGCCGGGAGCGGTCACTCAGTCTGGGCGACAGAGTGAGACTCCAACTCAAAAGAAAAAAAAAAAAAAGTACTCTGAAATGAAGTATGGGATAAAAAAAGAGGGGCGAAGGATCTGAACAGACATTTCTGCAAAAAGCGAATCCAGCGGCCAACAGGCACCACAGCTGCTCAACGTCGCTGGTCACCAGGGAGAAAATGCTAGCTGAAACCACAGCGAGATCCCACTTCCAGCCTACCGCGGCTTTAGTCACAAAGACAGCCAACGGCCAGTGCTGGTGAGGACGTCGAGAAGTCAGAGAGCTCTCGCACTCCGGTGGGATGTGCAATGATGCAGCCTCTTCACAAAAACGTCTGGCGACTACTCACAGCTCTTACCATGGAGTTACCACACAACTAACAGCTCTACCTTAGGTGGACGCTCATGTTCTCACTTGAAAACACATTTTCACACCAAAGCCTGTATATGTAAGTGTTCACGGAAGCATTACTTGTAACAGGCAGGAAGTGGAACCAGCTCGGATGTCCACCTGACACAAGGGAGATGTGACCCATCCGCACATTCAGTGTCGTCAGCAACAGAAGGGACTTCTGCCCCCCACACGGACTCGTTTGTTGGGATGTAAGTGAAAGGAGCCGGTCACAAAAGGCTATGGCGTGTCTCATTTCTAGGAAAGATCCAGAAGAGGCACATCTGCACAGGCAGAGAATAAGTCTGTGTCTGCCTCCGGTTTGGGGTGGGGTGAGGAGGGGATGGGGCAGCAGGGAGTGACTGTTACCAGGCTTGGGATCTCTTTTTGGGATGACAAAAACGTTCTGGAAGTAGACCGTGGCGATGGCACCCACTGTGAGCACACGCCAGCCCGCACACGCCAAGTGGGCAACATTAGAGCTCAACAGCTCGGTTAAAAATGTGCTTCACTGGCTGGGCTCAGTGGCTCAGCCTGTCATCCTAGTACTTTGGGAGGCAGAGGTGAGTGGACTGCCTGAGCCCACAGGTTCAAAACCAGCCCGGGGAATTTGGCGAGACCTTGTCTCTACAACACATCAAAAAATTAGCTGGGCGTGGTGGCATATGTCTGTAGTTCCAGCTACGTGGAACGCTGAGACAGAAGGATTGCCTGAGCCTAGTAGGGTCAAGGCTACGATTGCCGTGAGAGTGTCGCTGCACTCCAGCCTGGGCGAAAGAGCGAGACTCCGACTCAAAATAAATAAATAAATAATGTGCTTCACTGAATAATCTCCATTTGATGTAACGTCACCTTTTAATATGAGCTTAGCCACTGCTGGAAGTAAATAAATGTATATAAAGCAAACAAGAACTAAACAACATACACAAACCATGTACTACATAGATAAGTTTTCAGTTTATCTCGATATCACCGGAAGCAAGCGCTCTGTTTTGCCGTATTTTGTTTTAAGCAGCACGAAGAACAGCAATTAGCAAAACTATTTAGAATAAATAAAACTGGTAACAAGATGACACCTGTGTAGGCCGACAATTCTGGATTATTTCCTGCCATTTTCCATGTATCCTGGCAACCAAGTCTTTCACCTTAAAAACATCAAAAAGGGAAAGGGGATCAGATCAGAACATCCTCAGCAAAAACCAATTAATACTTGATACCAAAGACTTGATAGTTGAGACAGACCCACACCCGACAACTCAGTTTGATTTTTGTCAAGAAAGAGAAAACAAAGTACTATCTTTTGTGGACGGGCTTTCAAATCACAGCAATTAATAAGACTTCCCTTTATCACCATAATCTACAACACCTAATGCTTAGAATTCAATTTCCTGTCAGTTACCCAGAGGCTGCAGGTGGCCTGTGTCACGGGGCCATGGCTTGGCGGTTCCCAGCCTCCCCAGTTTCCATTTGAAGGACTCAAGGCCACGAAAGGTGGTGGTCATGTGTTCCTCTCTCTGCATTGTCAGAAGACCCAAAATTCACGGACTCTTCCGTGTTTTTGCAGTGGTTTTACTATGACTCTTCTCTAAACATCTGGCATATTCCTATCTTTGGAGGTTTAGCAAGTCTCCATGCAAAACTCAAACTTTACCACAAAAACGACACCCTCCCACTCCAGAGTTCTCATGTAGCTACTGAACGTGATGGCTTGAGAGAAACATGATTTAAGCAAGTCAGGAATTGTGCAGCCGCTTTCAGTTTATAAAGTCAACTGCAGCCTCTGCTTTTTCTCCATCTAGAGTTTAGCAAATCAAATTTCTCCAAAACGACGCCAGCTCTCCTAGGCTTCTGGAGAGGCTTGCAACACATCTGTCTCAGCAAGACCATCCCCTGAAGCAATTTCCACAGACCACCGCATCACTAAGAGGAGCCCTGGTCTCAGTCTGTTCCCGGCCCTTGGCTTTAAGAAACACAGACCCTGGGTGGTCTGCTTTTAGCATGTCTGTCAGCAGTAGCCACTACCAAGCTTCACGGGCCAGTAACTCTGGTCAATATTCAAAAGAATGTGTGCTCCTGAAACTAGTTTCTACTCTAAGGCAAAAAAGGTCTCCCCTGCGTGTACTTGAAAATCTGATATGACATCACTTGTCGCTTATTTTCATATTTAACTTAAATTTACTAAAGCAGATATGAATACTGAATGTAAGCAGATGGTGTTCACAGGACTAATTTTCCAACTAAGATATGAAGTTACAAAGCTGAGATGTCAATCCAATGACTAGCTAAACATAGGAGGCCAAAAAGAATCAGCACTGTATTATATTATGAAAGCTAAAAGTTGATCTGGGAGTTAAAAAAAAATCCTTAGAAAAGCCTCTAATCCCTGCACTTTGGGGAGCCGAGGTGGGAGAATGGCTGGAGACCAGGAATTTAAGACCAGCTTAGGCAACACAGCGAGATCTCTACACAAACTCATCTCTACAAAAAAAAGAAAAAGAAAATTTGCTGGATGTGGTGGTGCACACCTGTAGTCCCAGTTATTCTGGAGGCTGAGGCAAAGGACTGCCTGAGCTCAGAAGGTCAAGGCTGTGGTGAGCCATGACGGGGTCATGCCACTGCACTCCAGTCCGGGTGACAGACTGAGACCCTGACTCAAAAAACAAAACAAAACAGAACAAAGTTAGAAAAAAGTTTTTAAAAAATGTGACTAATTTTGTATTCTAGGAAAAACTGTCAAGCCATTCTATCAACACTAATGTTGCTTTCCTACCCACCCTCACATACTTGGCTTTTTTACTGTCTCTGAGTACACAAAACCTTTAAGAAAAAAAAGCTTATTAGCAAGCTTACTGTGGAATTATTTCTCTCCTAGAGCTCAGGATAGGAGATGTAGGATTTGAAGAGTCTTTCTTTGAACACATTCTTCCACAGAATATTAAAACACCAGCTAACCTATTTCTTCTCTTTGAATAAAACACATTTTCAACCGTCACAAAGTTTCACAAAGTTTCATAAGCACTGGCTCCCGACTTGCCTATTTATTTAAACAATGCTTCCATCCCTGAGGCTAACTTAAGCGCAAGGTTTTGATTTGCATAATGGGGAGACACTAAAAGGTTTCATTAGTACTGCAAGAATGTTTCTCCTTAGGAGTTTCAGAACAGAAAGTAAAGCAAGAAGTGTATCTGCTTTGTGAATTTCCCTTTCCCCTTTCGTCTAGCAGAGGCAGATTTCTTTATTAAAGGAGAAAGTCATATTTCTAATTTTATAGGTTCTTTTTTTTGGGAAGAGGCTTATATGCTTCTCTTAAGTATTAATGTAACCAAGATTAAACAAAAAACTAAGTAAGAAAAAACACACCTACCTTCGTTCTGTAAAAAAGTCTTGCGTCTTCCCTAATATCGCATTTAACATGCTTTTCCAGAGCCCCACAGAGAAGCACGAAGTGTTTCTGTGCAAAACAAACGCAAGGGATGAGACAACTCTGAAGCATTACAGTTAACAAAGAAAGGGTCATGCAGTTAGAGCCACAAGGTCATTTAAAATCTACCAAGCCAAGTTAGCAGTGTGTGGCATCTGATACGAACCACCCAACGTAGCGGGCACTCCATGTCAATGAGACTGCTAGTTTAAAGCACACACACACAAACCTAAGGGGTTTTGCTATGTATTAACTCACATTAATGAAAATCAACCCCAGAGCTCCGTTCAACTGGGTGATAGAATCTGAAGTCCTTCCTTTAGCACAGTCACTAATGGGATATTCGAATAACAAATATACTAATCTACGAATAAGCTAATCTACTTTTTTTCTCTATGAACAAGGCAAACTTTTAACATAGGAGCACACTTAATTCTTTGAAGAATCCAGTATCTTAAGTTTCAGAAGCATGGCGCCCTGAACAGTTACTCTCACACACAGTTAGTGAGAACGTACTGAACACTGTGGAGAGGAGAGTGTGATAACAACTATTTAAAATGATTAAAATTTGAGTTGATTGTAGCCTTGAAGCCAGTAGTTCCACTTCTAGAATTTACTGGACAAAGGAACAAGTGGGCAGAGATACACAAGTAAGCATGTTCACGTTAGCACTATGTTTAATCACAAAAATATAATGTGCACCATTGAAGATTCTGAAATACTACAGTTACTGGACAGAAGTGCAAATGTCTTCAAAAGGAAAGAAAAGTTGCAAATAATACTGACAATATGACTACATTTTTGTTAAAACCATTTTGTTAGCATATGCATAAATTACAGAGAAATGTACAGGAGGGAACTGGATTGTAGGAGTCTTCCATGTTCTACCTTATATCGTTTTAAAATAACCAATGATTGCTTTTAATCATAAAAATAATTTACAGACTACAAAAACCATGTAAGAACACTGCAGACAAAGGAGGATATGGGCTTCCAATTGGAGAACAAACCTAGTTCCACACAACAGCATTTATAAAAACATGTGAACAAGTCTACACGGTGTCCCTTCTATCATGCCTCGGAGACGTGAAGTTTCAAAACAGGAACTGGAATAGTTATGAAACAAGGGAATTAAGTGAGAACTTTCGCCAGGAACATGGGAAGAGAATAACACAAAATGAAAGCCTTCGAATGGGGAGATAATTTAGAATGCATTTCCCAAGAAGCCCGACTTAGCATCGGTTTCATTTTGAATGCAAATGTCTTCCCAAAAGAAGAAAAGGGGGAGGGGCGAGGAGAAGAGACGGGAAGAAACCAGCAGGGAGTTGGCCCGCTGGTACTTGCTGCCTGCGCATCTCAGCAGCATCAGACGCTGTGGCTGCGTGACCATGGTTAAGTTCCACTCCAGCCAACAGAGCTGACATTTCCTGACAGTACTTCTTCCCAAGGTGATGGGTTGCAAGGTCGCTAGTCCTCCCGGCTTGCCGCAGCAAAACCAGCGAACCGGGACACGCCTTCCCCTCCACGCAGATGCCCGTTCGCACCATCAACAGCGCACCTATTTACAAACAGCAGCAACGCCGAGCACTACCTACCCGTTGTCCAGAAGAGAAAGAATGAGAGCAACTAACTTCCCCGACTAAATGAAGAAGAATGTAGGTCAGGTAATATGCCTGTTGAATTAGAAATGAACAGAATTAACTCCCACGAACCAGCTGACGCGGACGTCATTCCAGCTTACACATCAGAAGAGCAGCCGGGGAAGGACAGGTCGCACTGTGGTTACCCGGCTAGCGAGCGAGGAGCCAGGAGCTGAACAGGGCATTCCTGTCCAAGCCCAGCGTGGTCTTTTTGCCACCTCATGACTGCCGAATAAAAGCGACAAAAACACTCACTGACAGCCATCCTTCCACCCCAACTTTTAGCTCTAGGGCTTGCTGATGAATTTCATGGCGGCAATACAGAAAAAACGACCATTCGTTTTGCAATTATGTTTGCTAGAAAGTGCCTGGTGTCTAACCCAGCCATCCCTGTGCCACCTGTCCGAGGCTAGGAGCTATGGTGTCAGGGTCGCGTGCCTGTTCTGAGACTTCCCGCCCCAATACCTGCTTTTCAAGCTCCAGATGGACACTGTCATCAATTGTGCCGTCTGGTTCCTGAGCCTTTCTCCTCAGGACCATTTTCTTCAGCAGATCAGAGGGCTTCATCTGCACGAGATAGCGATGCAGGACTGAAATCTACAAGAGACGGGGAGATGCGGACCCAAGCTCGGTGACAGCAGAAGGGAAAGAAGGAGAGCAACTGACTTCCCAACCAAATGAAGAAGAATGTAGGTCAGGTAATATGCCTTCCACCTCAGCCCCCAGAGTAGCAGCGACTACAGGCATGTGCCACCACGCTGGGCTGAGTTTTTCATTTTTTTGTGGAGATGGGGGTCTCACTATGTTGCCCAGGCAGGTCCTGAACTCCTGGCCTCAGGCGGTCCTTCTGCCTCAGCCCCCCAAAGTGCTGGGATCACAAGCTTGAGTCATTGTGCCTGATCTAAAAAGTAATTTTTATTTTAAGCGAAAGATCTAGCACTTGTAATTTAGGATCAACCCTCAGGAGAAGACCAAATGGTATTACAATAGAGGTCACAGGGAGGGCTTTCTCTGTGAGATGATGTGAAAGTCAACAAAGTGAATCTCCCTGTGGATAGAAGTCACTAAATTCTGAAAAGCAGCACCATGAGAAACTGGGGGAAAATCCTAACTAGATTGTGTGTCTGAATACTAACTAGTGAGTCTGAGGGTTCACTATCCATGTAGTTCTATTGCGTATGGGGGAAAAAGGGAAAAGGTAACAGAGCACAAGTTAGGAGGAAATGGTCAAAATCCTATCCCCAGATCTTTCCTGATGGCAGTAAGTAGCACTGAAAGCAACGAGAGCTCTTTGCTGATGACCCCGGTAGCTCCAGGATGGTCCGCACAGAGCTGCTATCAAGACAGCCCCCGCTCTGCTCCAGCAGAGCCTGCTGACCCTCCAGCCCTCTGCCCCACGCACACTGCACATGCTGTTCTTACCACACAAACCCACGAAGGCTGGTTCGTCTCATTTCAATCACTAGATTATCTTTTCAAGGGCAGAGCATCTAGTTCATATTATTTTTAAATTCCTAGGACCTGCTAGAGTACTTTGTACCGAACTGCGATCAAGTAGAGAGAACACAGGAACACCCAGACCCGGTCCTATGGCGAGCGTTCACGTCCAGTCCACGGTGGTCCCACTGGAGCTGTCAACACTTGTAAAAAGCCTCCGGAACGCCTCAGAGTGGGACTCCCCAGGGCATGTTAACACACACTCTCATGTGCGTGACATATTCACTACTGAACAAGGACAATCAAATTTAAGCTCCACAATCTAAAAAGACTAACATTAAAAGAGGCAAGAGATGCAGTTGATGCATGGTAGTTCTGCAATTTTTCTCCTTTTTTTTTTGAGACAGGGTTACCCACACCGGAGTGTGGTGGCATAATCATAGCTCACTGCAATCTTGACCTCCTGGGTCAGGCAATCCTTCTGCCTCAGCCTCACAGAGTAACTGAGACTACGGGCAAATGCCACCACGCCCAGCTAATTTTTAAATATTTTTTTGTAGAGATGAGGTCTCACTTTGATGTCCATGTTGGTCTAAACTCCTGGGCTCAAGTGACCTTACTGCCTTGACCTCCCAAAGTGCTGGGATTACAGGTGTGAGCCACCACACTTGGCTCTGGTTCTGCAATTTCTTTTTTTGTCTGAGTTGGGGGTCTCACTCTATCGCCCAGGCTGGAGTACAGTGGCACACTCATGGCCACCACAGCCTCAACCTGCTGGGCTCAGGCGATCCTTCTGTCTCAGCCTTCCAAGTAGCTGGAACTATAGGTATGTGCCACCACGTCTGGCTAATTTTTTGATTTACTGTAGAGACGAGGTCTCACCATGTTGGAATGAAAGGCATGAGCCACTGCACCTGGCTGGTTCTTATAAATGATGTCCTATTCATATAATTGCATGCTATGATTTTCCCAGTGTTTTTTTTTTTGAGTTGAAGTCTCACTCTGTCACCCAGACTGGAGTGCAGTGGCTCGTTCCCTGCCACCACAGCCTCAACCTGTTGGGCTCTGGCGATCCTTCCACCTCAGCCTTCCAAGTAGCTAGAACTATAGGCACGTGCTATCACGCCCGTCTAGTTTTTGATTTAATTGTAGAGACAAGGTCTCACCAAGTTGCCTGGGTGGGTCTCCAACCTGCGGGCTCAGGCAATCCACTCGCCTCGGTCTCCCAAAGTGCTGGGATGACAGGCTGAGCCACTGAGCCCAGCCCAGTTGTTTACCTATACACTAATTCATCATATTATCCACAAGTATCCTATGTGGTAGAAATTGGGAAATTACCATTTCTACTTCCCAGATGAAGAGACTGATCTCACCCTGCTAAAGACTACAGGAAGTGTCATGGCTGACGGTTGAGCTCCGCCCCCAGGACTTTCTTCAACTTTCCCTCCCCCTTACTACCTACCTCTCCCACTTATTCAAAACAAAAGAAGCCTTGTGCATACCTGCAGATTGTTGGCATTAGGGACATCCTCCTGTTTCTCATCCAAAAGCTTTGAGATCATCACCAGACTGAGGCACTGTCTCAGTTGCCTGGAATCAGAATGAAAAGGTATGTAGAATGAATTTTAACCAACACTGCTTGAGAAGCAATGAATGCGTCAACAGGCATTCATGTCTCGAAGGCGGCTGCTTAAGGACATGGCAGCTGGCAGAGAACAGCAACACTGGCATGGAACACCTGAACGTGGGGCCAGTCGAGCTGCCGGAAGCTGTACAAATCACGAAGAGCCTCCATCTCTGGCCCTGCTGACGTAGTGACAGGAAATCTGTCTCTTCGCTAGACTTCCTTTGTTCTAAAACCAAAAAAGCAAATCCATTCCTTTTTACAGAAACCAAATTAAAAACATAAGGCTCTGAGTTGAGAACCAGAATCAGGCTATCAAGGTCTCTCCCCACAACTAAGTATGAGTAAGAGACTGTGATCTGACAGTGCAAGAATGAGTGAAAATAAAGGACCAGAGCATTTCATTAATGGGAACACCATACAACTTCATGCTTAACTCTCACTCATATTATTTTGAGTCGGAGTATCACGCTATCGCCCAGGCTGGAGTGCAGAGGCATGCTCACGGCCACTGCAGCCTTGACCTGCTAAGCTCAGGCGATCCTCCCACCTCAGTCTTTCAAGCAGCTGGAACCACAGGGCATGCACTACAACGTGCAGCTAATTTTTTGATTTATTGTAGTGACAAGGTCTCATCAAGTTGCCCAGGTGGGTATCGAACCCCAGGGCTCAGAAAAGCCTCTTGCCTCCGCCTCCCAAAGTGCTGGGATGACAGTATATTTAACTCTCACTTTTCAATACCTTCCACGTGCTGTCCAGTTGGGAACCAGCTGCACAAGCCACAGCAGGTTGTGGGGGTGACTTGAGAGTGCATTGATGCCCAGACAGAGTTCAGGGACCTGAAGAAAGAGAACAAACATGGTTTCTTTCCAAACCGGACAGCAGAATCAAGCCTCTAACACATCCCTGTATCCCTTCTTCCCCAATGGAAACACTAGTACAAAACAGGCGCTCATTTTTAGAAGCGGTGTGGAGTCTACAACACACTAAAATGGACACAACACAGACTGAGTTTATCTTAAACTATCTGAACCAGACTGAACAGATTCATTCATCAGACTTTCACTTGGCTTTTTATGTTTTGTGCTACAACTTACCTCTATTTAAACAGGCCTTCTTGGAAGAATCAGCTGTCTAAATATAAACAGCCATTTCCAAGTGTATATGAGAGATGCACAAAGTCAGACAAGATCCTGATCTGGAATTTCTCGTACTTTAGTGATCCTAATCCAGCATTTTAAAAAGTCCAACACCCCCAACATATGTACAAATTTTTAAAAAATCTAACAGTTGCTTCAGAATAATCTTATAAGGACAAAAAAATATGGGGTGGGGTTAACACTAGACAAAATTATAGGGTGCAGTGCCTCATGCCTGTCATCCCAGCACTTTGGGAGGTGGAGGCAGGAGGATTGCCTGTTCGAGAACAGCCTGGGCAACTTGGCAAGACCTCATCTCCACAGTTTAAAAAGAAAATTAGCCAGGCATTATGGTACGTGCTCTGGTTCCAGCTACTTGGAAGTCTTAGGTGGAAGGATCGCCTGAGCCTAACAGGTTGAGGCTGTGGTGGCCGCTGAGCGTGCCTCTGCACTCCAGGCTGAGGCTAGAGAACCCACTTGAGCCCAGGGGTTTGAGACCAACCTGGGCAACTTGGCAAGACCTCATCTCTACAAAAAATACAAATACTGGTCAGGCATGGTGGTACGTGCCTACAGTCCCAGGTACTTGGGAGGCTGAGGTGGAAGTTTAGCTTGAAGGTCAAGGCTGAAGTGAGCTGTGATTGCACCACAGTGCAACAGTGAAATCCTGTCCATCCCCCAATATAAAAAGTACCAACAAAAATTAAACATGTTCGCCCACCATATGGTTTCAGAAGTTCAGCTCAAATCCCTGTTGCAGCTATGACCCACTGCACCCTTTCATTCAGGTCTCTCTGCTCAAAGACCACTCCAAGAAGGCCTTCCCCGACTGCCTTGCTTACACGGCATCGCGCTCCGCCTTGTCACTCATGTCCACATCCTGCTGTGTCCTGCTTTATTTTAATTTGCAGCACTTAATTACAATCTGACGGGCTATAACAACCTACATTTACTTGTTTATACCTAACCCTCTGACTGGGACAAAGGCTCCATGAGGGCAAAGGCTTTTCTTTTCCATAGCTGAATCTCAGCATCTATGTTAATTCTTAGTCCCTATGAAAGCCCCAATAAACACATTTTTGTGGAGTGAATAAGTGCAGTTTTAGAAAAGACATGTTTATAATGAATTTAAATACAGCTCCAGCAAACACAGTCCCTTCCACCAAAGATGTTAACTGAGCGCAGAAACAGGATTAGCTCCGAATGTACTATGAAAGCCAAACGGTGATGCTGGACAAAAACCCAGTCCTGAAGTCTTAAGTAACATTACCTTTGTGTTCCAGTCTCTCATGTTTTTCATCAGGTTTATCAGGAGGCTTTGAAAGTCTACCAGGGGAATCTCTTTCAGCTGTTTTTCCAAACTCATTTTAAACAACATTAAAATCAGCAACATTATTTCACGATCCTGGTAGCCTTCTGGATGTATAGATGTACACAGGCCTAGAAACTTTGTGGCATAAATGCACAGACAAAAAGACTTTAGGATATATATTTTACTTGAAGAATTTTAATTACAAAATATTTTCAACAAACAATGCCAACAAGAACTACACAGAAAGCAAGCACCAGCTGTCTGGAGCAAAAAAGGCAAGAAACACTCATTGTTAAAAGCCGAATTAAGTGGTATTGTCCTCTCCATTTTCCAGGTTTTCTTAATGGTTTGGTGTAATTTCATTCAGCTACCAAACTGTTTTCACGCTTATTAACTCTTGATTGCTAAGTTATACTGCAAGAAACACTTTTTTCCTCATACGTCCTACTTTTAGAAAATCAGTGGTTGCAGAACTGTTTTAGTGACATAACTCTGACCTGAAGTTAACTTTCACTTGTAATATTAAAATAAAAATAAAAACAGCAAAAGCAATGTTTAATACAAAGATTATTGCTAGAAGTTTCAAAGACTGGAAATGACTCAATAAGAAATTAGTGATTTTGTTTAAACCACAGACTAAATTATTCTAGCTTTGTGCAAAAGACACACAAAACAGTTTTCCTACCTTAACCACATTTAAAATGTTGGTTTCAGGAAGAGTTGAAAAAATGGGTTTCCAAGATGTATCTTCACTCCCCTTCTCTGATGCTGTCTGTGTTTCAGAACTATTGAGATGTGAATACAGCAAGTGAAGTTAGCCACAAAATAACTACTCTCTCTAAGAAACACCAGGCTACTTTCTAAAAGTTACACTTTACTGAGATACAATTTACAAACAATAAAAGAAATGTACCCACATTAAGATTTTTTTGATAGAGACAGGGTTTTGCTGCTGTGCTGCCCAGGCTGGTACCAAACTTCTGACCTCACATAGTCCTCCCACCTGGCCCCATTTTAACTTTTGATAAACATATATTCAAATATAGCCACCACATAAACCAAAAAAGAGAACATTTCCACTGCCCCCAAAAGTCCCTGCATGCCAGACCCAAGTCAATCTGCTGCTCCCGCTCTTGGCGAACCCTGACCTGATTAACCTTGAACCAGCTCCTTCTAATAAAATACTACCCTCGCTGCCCTTGGTGTGAGAAAGCTACGTGGAAGGTGGCTGACTACAAAGAATGCTTAAAAGGTGAAGGCTTCATAAGCGGCCTCAAGAAACTGCCACAGCAATATAAAGAAGCAAGTCCAAGCGCTCCAGTTCTGGTTGAGGTCATCAGTGAAGCTTCATGGAAGAGGAGTTGCATGAACTTGGCTTTCAAAAAATAAGATCCTTTTAATTTTTTTGGGAAAAAAAACAAAAAAACACAGTTCAAATGGTTTAGGAAAAAAAATCAGAGCAGACGAAGGCTCAGCATGCTGCAATGAACTACCCTTCCAGTGTGCCTCTTCTGCCCCCCACTTCTAGTCCCCAAAGACATTCCTACTGGTTTTATTATTATTATTATTATTTTGAGTTAGAGTCTGTTTTGCCCAGGCTGGAGTGCAGTGGCACGCTCACGGGCACTGCAGCCCCGACCTGCTGGGCTCGGGCTCAGGCTCAGGCAATCCTTCTGCCTCAGCCTTCCAAGTAGCTAGAACTACAGGCACACGCCACCACACCCAGCTAATTTTCTATTTAATGTAGAGATGAGGTTCACCATGTTGGCCAAGTTGGTCTCAGGCAATCCTTTCACCTCCGCTCCCAAAGCGCTGGGATGACAGGTGTGAGCCACCGTACCCAGCACAACTACTACTAGTGTTAGTCCTTCCCTCCCCAAATATGAATACATGTCCCACTGAAGTGATAATTAAAAACACATGCAGTCTTTGTCCTCAGTGTCTGGCACAGAGCTCCTAAGACCCTTGGGACTTCTGGCGGGGTAGGAGGAGCCTCTTGCTGCTCACATAAACCCCTTTCCACCATGCTGGAATGTATGCTGATGAGTGACTCGAGGACAGGCTGGGAGTCAATGCCATCAATCACAGGAAGAGAGGGCTGACACTTCCAGTCCCACCCAGAGGGCCTAGACACTGAGTTAATCACCCTGGTTCACCAGTCGTCCCTGTGGAATGGAAATCCAAGCTCTGAAGTTCAGAGAGCTCGGCTGGCCAAAGCAGCAATGAAATGCTGGGAGGGGGGCATCCGGAGAGGGACTGCAGTTGTGTGTGCTCCCACCTCAACCTGCCCATCTCTCCCCTGTGCCACTTCTTGAGCTGTGCCCGTCACAATACACCAGCAACTGTCAATCAAGTGTCCCTGAGCTCTGGGAGCCATTCCAGCACATTCCTGAACATAAGGAAGAGGTTGTGGGAACTCCAGAGGTATAGAAGGCTCTCCTGTGAGTGTCATATGAAGCAGGGGACAATCTTGTGGGACCCAGCCCTCACCCTGTGGGGTACGCACTAGCCCTGGGTAGCCTGAACCAGAACAGCACGAGACTGCAGGACACCTGGGTTCTTCCTTTTCTGTAAGCAGTCTATACGTTGTCTTTGCCCATTATTCTAATAGGTGATTGATCTTTTTCTTAGTGACTTGAAATGAAGTCTTTGCTTCATATATATACACATTTTTTTCTCTCTCTCCATTTTGAGGTTTTTCTTTACAATGATTATTGTCATGTAGGTTTTAAAAAACTGTGGTCAAATGAGTTAATTTTCCCTTTATGGTTTCTAGGTATTAGTCATACAGAAAACCAGCTTCCTCTCTTCCAGGATTATAAGAAAAATTCTGCCAGTTTCTTCCATTACGTTTATGTTTTTATTGTATACACTTAAGTCTTTGATCTAAAAGCTTGAAGTATGTACCCGAAATTTTTGTCCATATGGCTACCCGGTTTTCTAGATACTGAAAAGTTCACTCCTTTTCTGAAATACCATCTTCAGCACACACTAAGCACCTACGTGCATTTGGGTCTGCCTTGGACTTCCTTATTTGGTGCCACTAATGAGGTTTTGCACCCCTGCAACTGTACTGTACTGTTTTATACCCGCTGAAACCAGCCCTGCCTCATAACTTTCCTGGATACGCTTGCTATGTCTTCCATTTGATTTCAGAATCAGGTGTATAGTCCCAACTCTCCTCCTGCGCAAAAATCCTGTTGATGTTTCTTATTAGGGTCTATTATTTATGATGTTGAACTTTTGTATTTGAAGCATGGTACGCTTTTCCAGTTATTAAGGTCTTTTCTTTGTCCTTCAGTAATGTTCCTCTCTCTCTCTCTCTCTCTCTCTCTCTCTCACACACACACACACACACACACACACACACACACACACACACACACTTCCAGTTAAATTTATCCCTAAGTATTTGTTTTTTAGTATTGTAAATGAAGCCTTTATTTCCAGTGTATCTTTTAACTTGTTACAGTTCAAACATTTGAGGGTTATTGATCTGTATTACTTTTATACCCTGACACCCATACCAAGTTTTTCAGCTGACACAGGCTTCTGTGTATAGATTAAATCACTTCTGCAAATGACCAATCTCTTACTTACTCCTTTCCAATTTTGCTTTGGTCAATACCTCCAAAACAATGTTAAATAACACTGAACAGTCTTACTATTTTTTTTTTTTTTTTTTTTTGAGTTGGAGTCTCACTCTGTCGCCCAGACTGGAGTGCAGTGGCTGCTCCCGGCCACCGCAGCCTCGACCTGCTGGGATCCGGCGATCCTTCTGCCTCAGCCTTCAGAGTAGCCGGAATTACAGGCATGTGCTACCACGCCCGGCTGACTTTTTTTGATTTATTGTAGAGATGAGGTCTCACTGCCCAGGCAGGTCTCGAACCCGTGGGCTCAGGCAATCCACTCAACTCAGCCTCCCAAAGGCGCGGGATTACAGGCTGAGCCACCGAGCCTGGCAAGTCTTACTATTTTTTTACAACTTTTATGAGAATGTTTCTGTATTTCCCTGCCAAACACGATGATGGTTTTTAGATTAAGACAGATGTTAAGACTGTATCAAATTCAAGACTGATGATCTCAACTGTGAGAGATTTAAAAGTCAAGAATAAACATTGAATTTAATGAATTAATGTTAACTGTAATTATATGTAAGTTGTTTGAAATGTTGTTTTTGGAACTAATTGTAAGAAGAAAACTTACATTAGACTGTCTTCATTAAAGTCTGGCTGAAGATTCTCCAGAGGAAACAAAGATCGAAAATCAACTCCCATATTGAGAAACACAGCTGCTATATCAGACAGCGATGGGACCCAGGGCCACAGGGGCGAGTCACTGAAGGTGTCTAGTTGACGAAGGAAAGGATTTTATTCTCAATCACTGGTCTATAAACCAATAACCAAAGGAATTAAACATTTCTCAATAAATGTGAAGAAAATGACATTTGTGAAGAAAGTATCTGAAAGGGATGGCTTTCATGTCTCAGGAAGGACCCAGTTAGAGGGAAGCAGCACATTTTGGAATGGCTGGACATGGCAATGGTCAAATCCCAACTACGGACAACACAGAAAGATCCCATCTTCGGTGCCTGTGAGTCCCGATCCCCAAAACAGAAGATGCAGGTAAACCGCAGCGCTGCTTTCATCGTAAGGGATCTCACAGGTGAGAAAGCAGCTGCCATGCTCTTGCAATGAATGCTTTCAATCTGCCGTACAATAATACTCTTGCTTACCAGTAACATAATCAAAATTAACTGGCTACATAAATAAACCAACTTGCAGCTACTTACTTCTACTTAACCCAAGAAAAGCAAGCCACAGTTGGGTAAATATTAGGCGATGGCTGTCACTTGCAAGAACTTTTTTGTTTTGAGTTGGAGTCTCATTCTGTTGCCCAGGGTGGAGTGCAGTGGCATGATCACAGCTACCGCAGCCTCAACCTGCTAGACTCACGCAATCCTTCCACCTCAGCCTTCCAAGTAGCTGGAACTACAGACATGTGCCACCACACCTGGCTAATTTTTCTATTTATTGTAGAGATGAGGTCTCACTAAGTTGCCCAGGTTGGTCTCGAGCCCCTGGGCTCAGGCAATCCTCTCACCTCAGCCTCCCAAAGTGCTGGGATTACAGGCGTGAGCCACTGTGCCTGACAAATTTACAAAATCTTATACCATTTTTCTCAATGCAACTAGAAAAATGCAGATTCTTGTGTTTGACTGCAGTTTCATTCCACTGTTAAAGAGATTTGATTACAAAAAGAATATTTATTCCATATTTCCAAATATGCTAACATTTAGCAAATGAAAGATACCACGTAAATAGCAACCAATAATACACTATAAATCACAGTAAATGTACATACTTACCATTTTTAATTGTTATTTCCATCAATGTGCTTAAAATCTGCACAGACACAATACAGTCTGTATGAATCGACATCATCTGTCAAAAGTAGATAAATGAGAGTTCACGAGAAAGAAAACATTTCCTATTACTAGACACATATAAAGGTGTCTTACACGCATTTCTTTACTATCTACAATAACCGTATGAAGTGGCGCTTACTACATTTAACAAACAGGTTCAGAGATTAACTATCCTACCCAGTGTGACACACAGAGAAGGTGGACTTCAAATCCAAGTCTGATTCTGAAGTCAGGGTTCTCTACATCCTAACATGCTGCTTGTTTTTACAACTTCCATTTATAATTAGACAAACAGAATACTTTTTTTTCTTTTTTGAGTTGGTGTCTCACTCTGCTGCCCAGGTTGGAGTGCAGTAGCGTGATCACAGCTCATCACAGCCTTGATCTCCTTGGCTCAGGCGATCCTTCTACCTCAGCCTCCCCAGTAGCTGGGACCACAGATGTGTACCACCACATCCTAATTTTTTTTTTTTTAGTAGAGACAAGGGGTCTATGTTACCCAGACTGGCCTCAAGTTATTCTCTTACCATGGCCTCCCAAAGTGTTGGGATTACAGGCATGAGCCACTGTGCCCAGTCAGTAACACTTGAAACTGTCAAAAAATGTCTTTCTAGTCATATATTAGGAAACTAAAAAAAAATAAAGCCTGCTCAGATCACAGGCAAAGATAAACCGTAACCTAATAAGACATAAATATACAAGTTAATATACCAATATACTTTAAAAAAGATGCTCAGTATCAGTAGTAATCAAAGAGTTGTCATAGAAACAATGACAAGATATCATTAGTTGATTTCCAGATTGGCAAAGATCCAGACTACTGGCAACACACAGCGTTCACAAGAGCACCGAAAGAGAAGGAAGCAGTCTTACACCTAGCGTGCGTGTGATTGGGTAAGAATTTTACAGAGATTTGGTAATATTTATATAAAGCTACTTTATTTATATTTTGATCTAGTCAGCCTTTTCACATACAGGAATTTAGATGCAGAGACAAATAACTAATATCACTTATATAAGATAATTTCTTGGGAACAAAATCTCAAGTCAAAAAAATTTTAAAAAAATCATAAAACAGTGAAAGTAACTTTAAAGTGGGTTTGTAGAGGAATTCATACTGTGTTTCTATTGCTCCTTCTCATTTGCTTAGGGGCCTTGGATTATGATCATAATAAATGTAAGTCTAAATGTGAGGAGGCATAACCCGGTCTCCTTTTAGTTAGGCACACAGTCTGCACCATTTTGAACACAAACTGTGTAAAAAAAAGTCTCGGCTACGATGCCTGGTCACTAAGCTCTGCTATGAAGAGCAGCACCACCCACAGATACACTGCATGCAGGACAAGGTTTGGATCAGTCTTTTTGTGGGGAGTGAAAAACAGCCATTTCAGAGAATTAAATAAATGTGAAAGAGAATATATACAGCAATCTAACGTCTACCAACTGAGGCTGGGTTAAGTCAATACCGGGATAGCCTGACAAAGGAATGCTGTGAAGTCATTAAAAAGGATGACACCTCAATGCTCAGAGTTGAAAGTACTTTATTTCATTGTTACCTGAAATAAATAAGTTATAAAACATATTCAAATATTCTGTTTATGTTAAGTTACACAGAAATGTTTTGCATGTAGAGAACATTTGAGAAAACACTGATTAAAATGCAACAGATTCTGGAAATTAGCATTTGAGAGGCATTCATCCTTCTTTTTAAAAAACTTAATCTTTCCATTTTACTTGAACTTTTCACAATCAAACATAAATTCCCTTAGAAAATTGTAACAACAACAACAACAAAAGGCAGTAAAAGGTGGCTCAGCTTCTAGTGAGTCTCCTGCCCCTCTGCCCCACCCATGTGTTCCTACTGATTCTGATTCAAAGCTCCCTCTGCTTACACCAGGGCTTATTTTCTGTGTGTTTTGCTTCTTAATCCTCTGAGTAAGACTTTGTTTTTATGTTAATTTTTATCTTGCTGATGTGGGCCCATCACTATAGTCTTTAAAACCATATTATGACATACAAGCATATCTGCATTTAAGGAGTTTTTACCCTCTTTGAATTTGTTCTTTGAAACCCAAACTAATAATCATTCATTAAGCACTTTCTCTGTGTAAGACACTTTGTTTCATTTCTCCTTTTCCATTCCAAGTTCATTTTCATGGTGGGAGGTGTCACGAATTTGTATTTTTTAGAAAGTAGGTAGAATGAATTTTAATGCTAAAGTCCTAACTAGTATTTTATAAATTTAGTTGTGAAGATGTAATAAAGATGTTTGCATTTTGTGATTTTATGAGTAACTGTAGTTAGGCCACAAGAGTTCACTACTTTTTTTTTCCAATTTTCTTTATTATTATCATTATTTTTAGGGATGGGTCTCACTATTTTGCCCAGGCTGGTCTTGAACGCCTGGCCTCAAATAATCCTCCCACTCAGCCTCCCAAAGTGCTGGGGCTGCAGGCATGAGCCACAGTTTACTGCCTTTTGTTGTTGACTCTTCCTCATTCGATCTCCATGAAATCATGGGTCTCGGGTACCAGATTAATTTTTTCCCTAGTAATGTGCAAAAAAAGTATACTTCAAAGTTTGTTTCTGACTTGGATATACAGAAGGGGTCACTATGACGCCCCAACATTCCTCTTACCCGAAACAGCCACTTTAACACAGGTACGGGACACTGGACATAGTGATACGCAGAGGTAAGGAAACCTTGTGTCGTCAAAAAAATCTGATCTGTTTTTCCGGATCTGAAAAAACAAAGTGAAATTAACATGACTTGCATTCATGGCAAAGCACTTCTACCACCACCACCTTGACAGAACCAGGGAAACGAGGATGTGAGTCATCCTCATCCATGGCGTGGACTCTACCAACATGGATGGTTTACTCGCACACGAAGCCCAACAGACAGCCTAAAGCTGGCCCGACTTGCAGGCTTGGCTCCACATCTATCTGGTCGACCAGGCTAGTCTGCTGGCTGTGTTGGGAGAGAGCCTCTGAGCTCCAGGACACCTGCTCTTGCAGCCTGGGGGCAGACTTCGTAAAACCTGTCACCGGAACTCATGTGTTCTCTCTAGACCTGAGCTGCCGTGTACAGAGAGAAATTAGACCAGTCGGGGCACCGTGGCTGTGATGATGGGCTGTGCTTCCCACTGTTTCTGCCTTTCTTCTTGGGAACTGAACCCTGATTTTTAGCTAGCAACACTGGCTGACTGGAAGCAACATCACTTCCCAGCCGCCCCTGCAGCCAGGTGCGGACAATTTGATAAGTTCTACCCAACTAACTGTAAGTAGGAGAGCAGTGTGGGATGTCTGGGGATCAGAATCTAAAGCTGCAGCTCCAACAGCACCTGGTGGCGGCTAAGAACGGCGGAGAAGAAAGGTTGGATGATGAAACAACACACCACTCCTAGACTTCCTCCTCCTTCCTCTTTTCTTGGACACAGGGTCTCACTCTGCTGCTTAGGCTGGAGCGATGTGGTACGATCATGATTCACTATAGCCTCGAACTCCTAGGCTCAAGTGATTCTCCTGCCTCAGCCTCCCAAGTAGCTAGGACTACAGGCATATGCCACCATACCAGGCTGATTTTTTTAATGGGAGACAGGATCCTGCTATGTTGACCAGTCTGGGCTTGAATTGCTGAGTGCTGGGATCACAGGCATGAGTGACTACGCCCGGCCAGGACTTCCTATTTCTATATTTCTTTCACTTAAGAAAGAAATCTAAGCTGGGCTTGGTGGCTCAGCACTTTGGGAGGCCGAGGCGAGTGGATTGTCTAAGCCTGCGGGTTTGAGACCAGCCCAGGCAACTTTGCAAGCCCTCGTCTCTACAATAAAATTAAAAATAGCTGGGCGTGGTAGCGCACACCTGTAGTTCCACCTACTTGGAAGGCTGAAGCAGAAGGATCACTGGAGCCCAGCAGGTTGACGCTGGGGTTGCCATGAGAGTGCCATGGCACTCCAGCTGGGCGACAGCTTGAGACTCCAACTTTAAAAAAAAAAAGAAAGAAATCTAGCTGGGCACAGTGGCTCACACCTGTCATCCCAGCACTATAGGAGGCGGAGGTGAGAAAGGATCACCTGGGCCCAGGGGTTCAAGACCAGCCTAGGCAACTTGGCGAGACCTCATCTCTACAATACATCAAAAAATTAGCTGGGTGTGGTGGCACACACCTGTAGTTCCAGCTGCTTGGAAGGCTGAGGCAGAAGGGTCGCCGGAGCCCAGTACGTCAAGGCTGCAGTGGCTATGAGTGTACCTGGACGACAGAGTGAGACCCCAACTCAAAAAAAAAAGAAAAAAATAAATATACTTCTTTTTTAAACCACTGTTTTGTGGACAGTCACTGTGATTACACACTGATCCTAATCCCAACAAGTGAGGTCAGGTGATGTGCTGAGCAACCATCCTACATGAGCTCCTCTGACTAAAGAGGAAAACACAGGAGCAGCAGGAGTGTGAGGCTCAGGAAACTGGCTTTCCATAACCGAAATGAGCCTCGTAGACAACTACTTTGGTCAGAGGTCCTTTAGGGTAATTTTTCATACATAAAAAAGTAAAATGTCTATTTTTCTACTTACTTAAGAATAAGCTTTTCTACAGCACTTTGTCCGATAAAACCAGAGTCTCTTAAATCCAAGGTATACTGATTGAAAATTTTCCCAGAACTGAGGAAATGAAATATTTCTTCACCTGGATGATGATCAGGAATAGCATCAACTGTAATTGAAAATTTCTTTATAAATTCCCTGAAATACAAAAAAAGTCAACGAACAGCAAATAGTTACATTACATACAGTTTTGTAAAAACATGTTGGGTGCAAAGAAAACTATTTTTGAAACTCGTGTTAATCCCAAGTTAGGAGACTAGCCTGAGATAACATGCTTTGCTTCTCCTTCTTTGTGCTAGCAGTCAAAAGCCACTGTGTGTGAAAAGAACCATACTGACGAGAAAGACTGAAGACATAACTGGGCCCCAACACTTGCCGTTCAAACCCATCACAGACTGTTCACTGCGTCAACAGCCATCAATGGCCCATTCATTTAGAAAACAAAACTAAACTAAAAAAGGCAAAGGCGTAATCGAGCATAAGTGCATTTCAAGAACGTCATACCTGTGCTCTTCTAAAAGGTCATCCTCATCATCCGTGCTGTCCTCACCTCCGACTCTGAGCGGGGACTTGATGCCGCGGCCTTGCCTGATGTCTTCCTGCAGTTGCTGCTGCAGCTCATCCAGCCTGAGAAGAGGAAACAACGCTACCATGAACGGTTGACCCTAAAAATGAACAAGTCTCTAGTTTATATCGAAAAGCAGCACCAAGGGAAACCCTTTCTAAGTACCCTGTTACATGACAAATTTTGCTATACTGGAGGTTAAGTTACATCTCTCAAATATATCATGGTGCACTATTTTTTCTAAAACACACAGGTCTATTTTAGGTCCTAGGCGTCTACCCGGTTACCAGTATGGTATTAGAAGAGCATTACCTTGCAGAGAAGACCTGAATATTTCTGTATAGCCAGAACTTCAAGAATGATCTGTCAAAACCATTTAGAGTGGGAAAGGGAATGGCAAAGAATCAACATCACTAATTTGATTACCCTCTCTAATCTTTTATGCTCACTTGGCTTTCTAGCAGCAGTCATTGTCACTACCACCACCGCCACCACAACACCTGATGATCACTGAGCACCTGATATGTAACAGGTGCTGTAGTAAGGGCTTTATGTTTCACTCTTAATCCTTACAACAACCTCATATAGTAGTTTATCACCCATTTTACACGCAGGAAAACACATAAGAAAAGCTGTAACTCACACAAGCCAGCAATGCAGCAAGATGGATTCACATCCAGAGTCGGGCTCAGAGTCCTTTCCTAGACGGCCTCTCCAAGACTGAGTGACTTGAACCAGGCTCTTATCCCAACCCCAGCCCACACAGCGGGCAAATACAGAGTAGTCAGTGACTACGGACTGTGCTGCTCCGTCGCTGCAGAAAACACTCAACCCCCAGGTCAAACCGATCCCTCTTACGAGCAAAACCAGACTGCAACTTGCCACATAATTTTCATTAGGGTCATTGTGATTCTCAACTTTCTGATTTCTGTGTGTGTAAGTGTATGCTGGGGTGTTCACCGTGATTCAAAACTTCTTCCTCAGAGTAACTTGAAATGGGTTTTTAAAAATTCCACATGTAAGCAACAAAAAATCCCCAGGTAACCCAGTTAAAGACACAAAAATAATCTGAAAAGACATTCCTCCAAAGAAGTGAACAAAACGGGCAATAAGCATACAACGAGAATTTCGTATCATTAGTCGCCAGGAAAACGTGAATCAAAACCATAAGGTAGTAGCTCTTTACACCCACTAGCGTGGCTACAATTAAAAAAAAAAGAAAAGAACGAGTATTGGCAAAGATGTGAAGAAACTAGAAGCCCCATTCTCTGCTGGTGTGAATGTACGATGGTACAGCCACTATGGAAACAGCATGATGGTTCCTTAGAAAACTACAAAGCATCACCACAGGACCCTATGTACGGGCAGACACCCCATCGAACTGGAAGCAGGAATACAAGGAGCCATCTGTGCACCCGCGTTCACAGCAGCACTATTCATGACAGTCACAAAGAGGAAGCAACCCATATCCAACGACAGAGGAACAGATAACAAAGAGTGTCGCATAATACAATGTAGTCATCAGTCGGAAAAAAGAAACTCCGACATGTGCTACAACATGGATGAAGCTTGACGATGTCACCCTATGTGAAATTAGCCAAATAGGTGAAAGGACAAATACTGGGTGACATCACTTTTACGAGGACTTCGAACCGTCAATTTCATCGAGACACAAAGTAGCATGGTAGCTGTGGAGGGCAGGGAGGAAGGGGAGCACAGGAGCCAGTGTCTGAGGGTACAGCGTTTCAGACTGGGAAGGTGGACCAGTTCTGCAGCTGGATGGTGGTGGCGGCTGCACAAGGATGTGCATGTATGTTAAGACACTGAACTGAAAAATGGCTGAAATGGGAAATTTTATGCTATGTGTATTTTACTATTAAAAACACACAACAATATTCTACCCATGCTTTTGATCAAGAATTTCAGCTATCAATTAGACACCAGTTGTGGTAAACAGCAAGGAATTCACATTCTGAGTTAAAGCCAAATACTATAAAACCTAGATCTTCTGACCAGCCTATGAACAAAAAGGCACGTCTTATTTCTTTCTTTTTGAGTCGCAGTCTCACTCTGTCACCTAAGCTGGAGTGCAGTGGCACACTCACAGCCACCGCAGCCTCGACCTACCGGGCTCAGCTGATCCTTCCGCCTCCGCCTTCCAAGCAGCTGGAACCACAGGTGTGTGCCACCACACACGGCTAATTTTTCTTGATTTACTGTAGAGACGAGGTCTCACCAAGTTGTCCAGGCTGGTCTCAAACCCTAGGCTCAGGCAATCCTCTCGCCTCCACCTCCCAAATGCTGGGATTACAGGCATGAGCAACCATGCCTGGCCCCAGAAGAACTATTATAATGGTGTTAGCGCAAAATCCATGCTAATTTCTCACATTTTACTAAGGGTAGACAGAAAGCCACACCAACCACAGAATAGTAAATGTAGCACATGAATCATGACGCTGACTAACCTTTGTGTGTCTTCCATCTCCTTCACCAGGCGCTCTAAGGTATTTGAATAAGTTCCACTATGAACATGTTCCTAAAACAAGAAAATTTAGAAACACTTTACACAACACATCTTAGTGGAAGAACTGGGATGCTTTAAGTTATTCAGAGTACTAAAGACTATTTCAACAACATGGGCTAGGATGATACCTTTCTTAAAGGAGAACTTTCACCATCATGCTTTAAATCTACTATTTTGCACTGCAGACTTTGATTTTACGTAACATCTATTACTAGGAAAGGTACAACTTAAAAAATCCGACTAGCCTTCAGATCCGACTGCAAACACCCAAGGGCTCTGTGGCTATCCGGTCTTTTTTTTTTTAGTTGGAGTCTCACTCGGTCGCCCAGACTGGAGTGCAGTGGTTGCTCCCGGCCACTGCAGCCTCGACCTGCTGGGCT